CCCAGCCAGCCCTTGAGCTCACTGTCGCTAGCCCTTTGAGGTGGTGGGATGCTCAGCAGTTTCAAAGCAAAGGCAGAGAAGGCGGCAGGCAGTTCTTACGAAGCCCATCAGGCAGGGGTGGAGTCCATTCACACAGAGAATAAAATCACTCCCTTGATTTGTTTTAAGAGACTGTGGGGAGAAAGGAAAACCTAGGCACTAACTAATGCAGTCATCTGCATTCAGGTTTCTTTTTTCTTCCATCTTTGAGTTTTGCCCACCGGATTTCTGTTTGCAAAAAAAAGAGAAAGAGAAAAAAAAAAAAAAACCTAATCCACTTTTTTTTTTGTCTGTGCATTGATTTAATAGTATCAAACCCTGAGGTCCTCATGGTCTGCACCTGGGTTGCTTTTTCCCCTAATGAAGCAAGAGAAGTGGTTTAAGCCCCTGCCGGGCTCCCTGTCAAAGCTACACAATGATTAACTCAGGTCCCCTTATTAGGAATGGGCTGAAGAAAATCCCTTAGTCATCAGCATTGGTGAGTGTTCAATGAAAAGATTACCTTGGGCACCTGAAAAATAATGGAAGTGCTCAATAGAGGACCATTAAGCCCGTCTACACACACTAAGTCAGGTGGAGCGTTGAGGTAATTAGCTGTAACATGAAGGCCAAAGAAACACTTTTGGACCTTCTGCCCTGCCTGAGTCAGTCCTATGATTATTTAGACCCCTATATGTTTCCTGGAGAAGCATTTTTACTTTGTATCTACATACAGATACACACACACACACACACACACACACACACACACACACACACACACGCACGCACACATACGTTCGTATGTACATTTTTAAAACTACTTGGATACAGTTGAGAAAAATCAGCTGGATGACAGGTCCAAAATGTGACTTCAAGTCCTATTGGTTCTTCTCTTAGCTTAGGGTTTTCAGCTGTAGAATGTTAATAGGGCCCCTATTCAGGAAGTTCAGATAGGGATCATATACAGCATGCAATAATTTAAATTCATTAATAAATACTAAACACTCTAAATTAGACTTTAACCTATCATTATTAGTTGTTAGACAGACCTGAATTGGTGAGTATTTGGAGAGATTGTGTGGCTAGGTATCATGAGCATGTGACTCAACATCACAGCACTTGTTGCCTTTGGTCTATAGTGACCTTAGTTGCAGGCATGTGGAAGAAGAAGGTTTACCCTCACTTCCACAGCCTCCCTTGATTTAGATCTTTTCTATTCTCATTTCGAATAACTGGCTCTGCCTGGGGGCAAGGGCCAGAGTGCTAAGGAATACTGCCATAGAAGAGGACAGTGATGTCCCATGAAAAGGGCTGGTCACAAAGCAGAATCTCAGAATTGTAGGGCCAGACAAAGCTAAACACCCTTCCCCTCCTTAGAGGGCATGTGAACTGTGCTCAAAAGCGATGCACACCTTGCATCTCAGGGCAAGTCCTTCTTCATGCCTGCCTCCTGTACCATCCCGTGGCTGGGTCTCAGGAAAGGGAGGTAGTTTCACTAAGCATATAACTGAGACAGGAGCCTACGAAAATACTTGGAAAGACTTGGGTGTGCTTTGAGGAGGAACTGGATCCTGCTTAGGTCCTGCATCCTGGGAATGAGCTCAGATACCGGATGGTACCCCAGCTTCCTTTTCATAGCAAGAAATTGCCACGGGTTATAGGTGTGGGGTGAGGCTACCACCAGCAGAGTGAGGAGCACTGGTTCTCTCCAGTAAGTCACTGTTCCCAGCAGGCCCGGGAACAATAACTGCTCTTAGTACTATTAGCATGATTGGATGTACTTGGCTGGATTGTCTCATTCAGTCTCTGGCGTCCCTTTGAGTAATGTTATTACTGCCCCATTTACAAAGGAAGCTCAAAGGTACCAAGCTAGAAAATGGGCTAAAAGCCAGACTTCTAACCCAGCCAATCCTGAACCCATATACTCTTGGACACTGGGAAGGCTTCTTTTAAAGTAAAAAAAGAAACAATGTTAAATATATACACATTCATATTCTTACATATACACACATACACACACGTACGCACTTTTGAAAAAAATTTCTTAAAGAAGTTCACTTTGGAAGGAAATCTCTTTTCTCCATTAAAGAATATATATCATATATTATGGACAATAGACTTGGGTAGATTGGGAGAACTGTCATTTGTCTGATTCAGAGACAGTGTTCATTCTCAGACAATCATGTTTTTGTGTGATATGCATTCATTGGGGGTGCACATAGGGGGGGTTGCAAGTAAAGGTTACAGGATAACCTCACTATCTACCTTCTTTAGAGATTGACTCTCTTCATTGTTTGGCCTGGAACTCATTCGTTGATTAGGCTTGCTGACCAGAGAGACCCAGAGGTTCCACCATCTCCACCTCTTTTTCCAAATGGGCTATGTGGATCAAACTCGGGTCTTTGTGCTTGCAAAGCAAACATTTTACCCAGTCAACTCCAAAACTGGCATACTGCCTCCTTCCAAATAACAATAGAAGTGCAATCTTCTATGTTTTCTGTTATAATTTGGATGAGAAAAGATCAGTAAGACCTGGAAGATGGCCAGATAAAGAATAAGATGAGCTGGACATTGGTGGTACACACCTTTAATCCCAGCACTTGGGAGGCACAAGAAATCTATGTGGATTTGAATCCAGCCTTGTCTACAAAGGAAGTTCCAGGACATTCAGGTCTATACAGAAAAAGCCTGTCTCAAAACACACAGAGTAAGCCAAGAGCTGAGGAGACTGATAACCTGAGCTCACTCCCCAGAGCCCATGTGAAAGCCAGGTTCAGTATTATCCTCCTATGGTTCCAGTACTGGAAAGGCACAGACAGGAAAGTTCCTTGGGCTTACCAGCCAGCCATTCAAGGCAGATTGTTAAACTCCAAGGTCAGTGAAAGACACTGTCTCAAAAAGCAATAAAGTGGAGATTGATCAGCAAACACACCAACTGTTAACCTCTGGCCCACGCACCACACACACACACACACACACACACACACACACACACACACACACACACAAGCTGGGCTGGACTGGAGGCTGATACAAGTATAAGAGTACATGAAGTTTTCCTTCATGTCACAAGCTTGCCTCATCTTCCCAAAGGAACAGAATTTGACTGGTGTCACTCTCTAGATTGGAACTGTGTGTCAGTGGTAAATGGAGAGTAGGCGTGTTTAAAGGTTGATCATTTCAGCTGTAGCAAAACTCCTACCAACTGCCAAGCTTCAACTTGACAGAGCAAAGGAGGTGATTTCTCACTGAGAACAGCTCTTTTGCCAGCACCCGCTCTGACCACTGTTGCTTCTGCTGTTAGGGCTTTCTCTTCCCTGAGCATTGAGAAGATGGGAAATCCCAGATGGAGTAGCCTGGGCTCAGAGCACTGTATGCACAGCTGGTGCCTAAGAACATGGACACATAAATTCCTTAAACTTGAGCCCATCGAGATAGTTTGCAAAGTAGAAAATATCACCTTGTTATTCATAGGTATTATTTATTGTACATGGGGAAATGGAATCAACCACCTTTTTGCTTGATTTGTTAGGTTTTGAAAAGGATTGGAATGGACAGATTTAAGAAGGGAATCACTTTATGGAAGTCCCTTTACGAACTATAGAAGGTTTCTTCTCCCAGCAGCCCTTACAGAGGATTCAGCTCTAACCACTACTGCACTGATCACAGCAGTGTTTCAGTCTGTCTGTTGAGTGCTTGTTTCTCAGCCTCCCTCTGGTCCCTTCCCTCCACAGTTTCCTTTCCAAGCCAGGTAGCAGTTTAATAGAGACAGCTGTGCTCTCATAACATTTGGTAGATGTCAGACACTGATAAAAAGTGATACCAAATTATAATTGTGATTGGTGTCACTCAAAGGCCTTGGAGTACGCCCTCAGAGAGTCTGTAGCAGAAGGAATCAAAGTGCTGTGACCTTATTAGAGAAAGGAAAGTGCATTGGCACTCAGTAGCTAATGGGTGTGTGTGTTCCCCGCTTGAACGTTTACCACACGATCAGACTTGCAGTACTACACAGTAGACAGTGTTGTCATTCTGTCCCAGAACTCTAGAGGCCAGCCTAAGGGGCTTGGCAGGCTCTTCCCATGGCAAAAGCAACTTCTGACTCTCAAGGTGGCCCCCTTTCTACCCCACGCATGCTCCCTGAATTTATTCCTCAAATTCAGCTGCGTATAGATTTCCCAAGCACCTGGAACTCACTCAACTTTGTTTATCAGTACTGAACTCCACTTGGTTCTATGCTTATGACATCCCTGTGGATTCATGCCATGTCAGCAACTGAACCAGCCACGATTAGTATCTCCCTTTTGTTAGACTCAGAGAGATGAAGTCACCCATAGGTCACAGCTTGCATGTGGTAGCACTGGGTTTAAACCCAGATCTGAGCCCACCCTCCTTGTTCCAGCACTACACTCTGTCACTCGAAAATGAATTTCATAACCATTCACTGTTCTTTTCATATGGGCTTGAAGTGCCTAAACCCAAGGGGTATACAGCAGCAGCTTTGGGACAGCTCCGAAAGTTCTGCTTGAATAATCTGTGGAAACCATGCATGTCTTTCTAGCCTGAGGTACTCAACCATATTCCTTCTACTTCAAAATCTGAACTATCAGACACCAAGCACAGAAGATTTCAGGACAACCTGCGTTCAAATTTTTAGGAATGCCAGTACTTTTGATTGTTGACTTAGACTTGAGAGCCCTCTCCCAGGTTTGACAGTCACCTCTACCTTCTGTAAAGGCAGAGAGGGAAATACTAAACTCCTGTACCAGCTCTAGAACCTGAAGCTGTAAAACTGCTCACTCTCCCTCAAACTGTGGTCTTAGCATGAAATATATTGGAGGATTTTGCATTCTAAAAATAAAACCTCTTTGTTTTTCCTGGTCAGCTCCATGTACAGACATACCATCTGAACTCAGATAATGACTGAGCTGTAACTTCAGAACACAATACTTGCCTCACGTTGTCCTCTCTCTCTTCCTCAGGTGAAGGCAGCTTCCAAATATGTGGACGTACCTGTGAGTATCTGAACATCCATCACTGTTTGTGGTTTAGTTGTTTTTTCTATTTTCATTGGGTTTTTTTTTTTTTGGCTCATTTGTTTTGGTTTTTTGAGACAGGGCCTCACTCTGTATTCCTGGCTGACCTAGAACTCCCTATGTAGACCAGGCTGACTTGGAACTCACAGAGACCCACCTACATCCATGCTGGGACTAAAAGCACACACCATTTTTCTGCTTCGCTTTCACCCATGAGTGTCTGAGAACTGTGTTTTGTTTGATTGTATCTGTTTCTGTGCTTTGCTTTGCTTTCAAGGTGGGTGCCATCTGCATGCCTTGTCCCCAGGCTCATGTGGACTATCAGAGACCAAGAGTGGAATGGTGTTTTTCCAATGAGAAGATGTGGTTTCCTGTGTCAGGAAGGAAGGAAGGAAGGAAGGAAGGAAGGAAGGAAGGAAGGAAGGAAGGAAGGAAGGACCAGTATGGGGGTTAACTCAGTTCCCTCTTGTTTTTGTTCCTCTGGTCGCCGGTCACTCAAAGTCCTTCTGCTTCTCCAGCACACATACCTTATAGTCCTAAGCTAGAAATTTCAGCAAGGATTCCAGTATTTTTTAGTTTAAACAAATAAATTCTGAATTTGTTCATTTGGGGGTCAATCTGCAATTGTTTTAAGGAAAACTTACAAAACTGTTTATAATTAGTGCTAGCCTCATTAATGAAAAGAGCCCTCAAAGTTCACAGAGAAGGTACTTGAGGTTGCCCAAAATTTACATTTAAATTGAGGTTAAGTACTACACATGAATGCTGAAGTGTGGGATTACCTGAGATAAATCAGAAGGCATTTATAGACGGACTTTGCCCTGCCTATTAGCAAAATAAAATTGGAGAGATTTTTAAATATATTCCAATAAAGGAGGAAAGGAAATGATGCTGTTTCTTCCTTTCTAACAAAAGAGGTGTGAGTCTATTATAAAATATTAAATTTAGGAGCTTATCTCAACGGTCGCTAAGGGGCTGGTACCGAGTGAGTCTCGTTCTGAACGTGGTTAAGTACCCTCCTTGTTCAAATACTTATTTGTGGAAATTTGTTTTTTTCTAAAAGGATTTATATTAACATTTAAATTCATTTCCCTGGGAAGCTAAGTGTGTAATGGTTTATTGTCTTATTTCTCAAAGGAAGACAAAATGGAAAATTGGAGTGAATGTAGCATTAGCATGCATTTTGTTTGTTTAATGAAATAATGTACAATCAATAATTATGTTTGAATTTATACAATACTTCTCATCAAGGGACCTCACTCCTTCCTGTAGGCGGAAGAAGGGAGATGAGAAAAGGCTCACAGAAGCGCACCAAGGAGAAAAATGAGGCACTGTACTCTTTTAAGCTCCAGAGTAAAAACTCTCCCTTTATGTGGCGTCTCCGGCCATGATTCTCCATCTTTAAAATAAGATACCTCACACCTAGGTGTGCTGTATACATTAAATAGTGCTACATGTGTGGAACTCATACGACCCCACCTGGACCTCATTAGATATTCATGCAACACGCAGCAAATGGCCTTTCAGGATGCGATGATGCCCTGAGCAAAGGACGGATGGGTCTGCTACCTCAGCCCTGCCTGCCACTAGGCTTTACAAGTATCAAAAATAGAAATCACAAGCTCCTAGCCCAGAAATCTGTTGTCTGTAGCTGTTTGGTGTAGAGAGGCAATCAGAAAGCAGCAGTAGTTCTGGGCCATGCTATTCTCAGGCAAGGCCCAATATATAAAGAAATTTGAATTAGCAGCAGTATTAACATCAACACACATGAGATCAGCATCTTTAAAACGTCAGAAAAGACTCACTATTGGCAATCTTTTATGCCTCAGGCCAACAATTCCCACAGGCCAGATCCAGATTTCTTCTAAAGATGGGGTAAAATGGACTCAATACTAGTGAGAGTTCTCTAGAATCAATAATCATGAAGATGCTTGTAGACTGATGGTGCTATATTAGGAACTTGAGGATATGGAAGAACAAAATGACTTAGAAGAGTTTCCCCTTCTGAAGGGGCAGAGGAAGATGACACAGTGTGGCCCCAAATATGGCTTGTCTACTACTGATGACACAGACTGTGATTATAACCACTGCAGCCAAGTGTTGTGAAGCAACCTAAAATGCCCAACACTGTTTTATGCCATTTAACATTTAATCCTTGTAACTGCTCCATTTTAGAGATAAGGAAACTGAAACGGAGGCCAGGCAGTTGACAGCAATACAGATCATACTTCAAACTATGCTTTTGAACATTCTGCCACACTAGAAGATGAGTTTAGTTCAGTGCATAGACACATGCTTGCTTTTAAACACTCTGCCACACTGTAAGATGAGTTTAGTTCAGTTAATAGACACATGCTTGGATAGTTGAATCATTATTACAGTATTAGGAAAGAATACGTTTAGCAGACCAAACTTGTGATTGCGCCAATTGTTAATGGCTTAGAACACTACTATACTTTGAAAGTAAATTGATTAAATACATACTTTTATAGCCTGTTAACAGTATACTAAGTATTACAGAAAATGAATAATTCCATAGCTATTATTACCACCCAATACACATATGTATCTATATTATCTACATATAGTAAATAATCATTTACTTTTGAAGATGACCCTGTAAGAGGCTGTCATTCATTTCATCCTGCTGGTTGAAGGTAGAGCCCAACTGCTCTAGTTCCAAGAGACAATGTGCACAAAATCAGCCTTCTGGTAGTATTTAAACCTTGGAAACTGGAAAGCAGTACAAAAAAGAAGGATTGGTGGCTAGTTGGTCGGTTGTGTGGGTAGTTTTGGGGTTTTTTGAAGAACCAGTTCACTGGCATACCACACTTACCTATTATAGTCACTGGTGGCCATAACAGGATGGGTAGCAGTAAGACATGGCAAGAGTTGGGGCGCTGTTTGATGACATTATCTTAGATGTCTAGCTCTTGTCCCCAGAGGTTCTAGTTTTAGTAGCCCTTGGGTGGAGCCTTTAAAATCTCTTTCCAAGATGTATTTTTCTGTTAAAGGATGAAAACCAGTAGGCTCAATCAGAGTTCTTGACCTGAAACACCTAGAGAGTTTTCACTTTTGGTTTTCGTGTTATTGCCCAGGTTGCTTGGCAGACAAATTAAAACAAATTCTGTGGACCTAGGCATCCATTTCTATGAAGCTTTCTAGACCCTTTGTCATTTGCAACTAGCTTATAACCCTGAACCCAATCCCCATAAGTCATGCCCAGCTCTGAACTTTTTGTGTTGTGTTGTGTTGTGAGTTTTCAGACAATTTGTTTAGTCCCATGTGGGGACCATGAATTCATTATCACAGAGATTTTTTTCTTACTGAGTCCCACCAGTAGAAAGAGGCACTCATCCCCATAATTCAGTTCATTTCTATTTCTTTTTGTTTTGTTTTGTTTTGGTTTGGTTTTTGTTTGTTTGTTTTGTTTCTCGAGACAGAGTTTCTCTGTGTAGCTTTGGAGCCTATCTCTCTGGAGACCAGGCTGGCTTCAAACTCACAGAGATCCGCCTGCCTCTGCCTCCTGAGTGCTGGGATTAAAGGCGTGCGCCACCAACGCCCGGCTCACTTCTATTTCTGAAGTCTAGCGTTTGACCCTTATTTGTACAATTGGCATTCATACGAAAGGCCTGCTTAAGATGCCAGAAATTAAAGTTTGTATTCCCTGCCTATCTGGTAGAGATGAGCTAAGATGAGAATGTCATATTTTACCTAATCCACTGGATGCCTTACTTCTAAATTATGTCTTCTGCGTGTGGTAGAGTCAGCTCTACAGTTATTTTTGTGTATTTGTTTAGATGCTTTCCAAAGTCTGTGTGATAGTCTGTCAATCTGATCTAGCCATATCTAAAACCATCACCCAAAGCCTAACTTATCTAGGGATGTCAGTTGTTCAGTTAGGTGTGCTTTTCAGCTTGTAACATACACTCATCAGCTTTCTTACCTGCCAGCAGTTTTGATCTCAGCTGTTTTCATGGGAAGTCTACTTAAAATGTATCACACATCCCTCCTGCCCTTTTTACCCATTTTAAATGATGCCCTAATTGTAATGTTCAGCACTATGGACTGCCTGTCTTCTCCCTGCAAGGCCTCCTGGTGGGTAGAAACAGTTCCCCTTTTCCCATGAATTCACACAGTTGATGAGCATGAGTATCTGATTTGGCTGTCTGTCCTCCCAGAATAGCACTCCTTTATTAGCACAGTATTCTCCAACATCCCCCTCTTCCCTCATCTGCATTCCTAGTCCATCAGGAGATGGAAGCCCAACTTGTCTAAATCAGATGTGATACTCACATGAAAGGAAAGCACTTGTGAGAAGGAGAAAGAGAACTAATTATGCAGAGACTTCATTTGTAGCTGTGTATTGTCTCCATCAAGTCTCCTTTTCCTTTCTGAGTCTTAAGTAGATGCTAATAGTAAGATTTAGTATCAAAAAGAGGGGATCGTAGTAGTTCTAGTTTATACTGCAATATATGGCTTTCAAGACATTTTCCTATTCATTATTACAGCTGCCAGTCACAATTCTTGAAGGTCAGACAGGAGATATTAATCGTGCTCTATGGCTCTGTAGCAAAGGCCCATAGATGTTCAGGTGACTTACATAGCTCCAACTTGGGATGGAGTACTAATCCATACAGTGGAATGAAGAGCTATAACATGAATAAATAAAAGACCCACCGACAGAAGTTAGGGTTCAACCTGAAGATCAGGGAAGCAAAGCAGCCAGCCACTAGCTCTCACTTCAAGCTCAGTGAAAGGGCTGATTCACGCAGGAGCTCTTCACCAAGCCTCAGACTGCTGCCTCTCCTCAGCATGGCTGGGAACTGAATGTCTTCCTACTGACTACTTACTCCTGTCTTTTATACCTCTCTAGTACTGGGATTAAAGATGTGAGTTATAATTTTCCTTTAGACTGATTCAATCTTGTGTAGATCTGGGTGGCCTTGTACTCAAAGAAATCCATCTACCTCTTAATCCTGAGTCCTAGGATTAAAGGTGTGTACCACCACCTCCTAGCTTCTGGATGCTGGGATTAAAGATGTGTGCCTGGCTTCTATGGCTTGGGGCTGACTTTGCTTTCTGAATCCTCAGGCAAGTTTTAATAAATCATAAATAATATATCACTACAAAGCGCTCTAAAAGGGAGGTTAGTAGTGGTCATTCATATATAGATTTGTCCATCCAGAAAATATTTACTGAGTACCTAATAGGTACCAGGCAGCATCTCTGTGTATTAAGAATACAAGTGAAAAATGAATTGAAGTTCTATTCTTCATGGAGCTTATGGCCTAGGAGGAAAAGGCAGATAAAATCCCCAAATTAATACATGACACAGTATCAACTCTTAATAAATGGTGTAGTGATAGATAAATACATAAATCAATAAGAGTCAAACCAAAGCTGGGTGGTGGTGGCCCACACCTTTAATTCTAGCACTCACGAGACAGAAGCAGGCAGATCTCTGAGTTCGAGGTCAGCCTGATCTACAGAGTGGGTTCCAGGATAGCCAGGGCTACATAGAGAAATCATGTCTCAATCATGTCTCAATAAGAAAAAAGAAAGAAAAAAGAGTCAAACCAATTTGATTTTTAAGATCATGAGTTTTTATGCCTCAAATGCATGCCCTTTTAAGGACATGAGCTTTTCTGAAAGAAAAGGTATGCTGAAGATACCAGCATCGAAGAGCGCTGTCCTCATGTGGTAACTTACTAAAGGACTGCCACGTCTGACTTTTACTTCATCTTACCTCTAAGATGTACCCAGGAAAAAGGCTGTGTCACAAGTATCCCAGGGAAGATAGGAAACAATAATAATAAGTTTCTCGGGTTCCCCAGGTAAGGATCCCCATCCCTACCAAGAATGTCTTTTGATGTACAGCTGTCAAACAGAGAGGAGAGATGTACCCACTTAGAACTGATGGCAGTTACCCCCATCTCATTGGAGTAATGCTATTGTTTCGTATCACAAAACTGGTACAATTATAGGACCATCATGGAAACTGCTCCATCCATTTGCTGAAAATTGCTTAGAAGTGTAACATTTGATACTGTGGCTTTGGGGTGTCCCTCATTGTTTTTCAAATTAATACCTTGTCATTGTTTCAGCATGTGTTAAGAAATGTTACTAGCATCCTGGGGGCCAAGCATTGGCCCTTTGCTTGATAATTGTAAGCTTTGTATCAGGGGAAAAAAAAAATACAGTCCTACTGTTTCCAAACCTTCCTCATTTTCACCCTGGAAATTACACGGAAGTGTTAACTAACTTCAATTTGCAGAGCCTGACAGTCACGTCTTGTAGCGAAATGATACTTTGTGATCTAAGGTAAATCACAGTAATGAAAACTAATCTTTTTAGTTATTAGCAAACATACAACTCTACTGTAGAAATTTAAGAGGTTTATGGCAGCTCTCCTAATGACCCATATTACAGTGTTTTAATGGGTTTCTTTGGAGATAACTTTGATTTTTGACATCTCAAGCAGTGCATATTCTGGTTTGTTTTGTTTTTTTATCTTATTTTTTTCACAGTAAATCATTTCCTAACTACTGGATGAACCACCTGCCTATTTTTTCAGGAAATTAATTTAAAAACCAACCCTCTTTCCCTGACTTTCTTCCTTTCTTTCCATTCATTCATTCACTTATTCATTCATTCATTCATTCATTTTTTTCCATCCCCAGAGTTCCAGGCTGCACTGGAAGGCAACCACAAATGGCTGAGTGTCTTTTCTGAGTAAAGCACACACAAATACTTACTGGATGTTCTCTGGATCAACTCCCCTTGCGAGGGTCTTGAATTGAAGGGCATAGTCATTGAAACAGGATTTCTGAGTACTTCCTCTATTTTGTTTTACAGACAGAAAGGAGGAAAATGGTAGAAGCAGAGTTCATTTAGCTTTGTTTGTTTGTTTGTTTGTTTGTTTTTAACTGTGGTCTAAAGCAAAGCCAAATAATGACCCTGGGTGGTAAAGAATTTTGTTCATCAGCTAAGCTTCCTAGGGGGAACAAAAAGACAGTGTAAAAGTTCCTATAAAAAAAGTCTACTCCTGGCTTCTGAAAAGCTTCAGGGTCTAACATCAATTCCTTCTGGTCCATAACCAAACAATGTGATCCAAACAAGGAAAGGTGCAGAGGACATGGGGAGAGGAAAGGCCAATGGGCAGGCAGTGATCCACCAAGGTCTGAAAAGTCCATTTTCATATTTTTCTGTTTCTTTGCAGAAACCCGGGATGGATGTGGCCGACGCCTATGTGACTTTCGTCCGCCACTCTCAGGATGTTCTTCGTGATAAGGTCAATGAGGAGATGTATATAGAAAGGTTATTTGATGTAAGTAAATGCCTTCTCCTCCTTGCAGCCCAAGGAGGAGACCCTCCAAAATGTGACAAAATAAGAGACAGGAGGATAAGTCACATTTTGAGAAAATGGATTGCTCCTGATTCAAAGAGAATCTTTTCCTCTTCCTCTGCCTTAGGCTCTTAACTGTCATGTCTGTTCTGAACCCACTCCTGGTGTGGCTGTGTCTGAGTCCCGGTCTGTGTGATATGTGGACCGCACGCAGCCTTCCGGCAAGCAGGCATTTTCTGCACAGAGCTGGCAAGGCAGATTCCTTGAACTGGCAAAGACCTCCTTCCATCCCCGTTCTCATCCTTGCAATCTGGCCATGTGTAAGGGACAAGCTCCCATTGGGGATGCTGAGGCCAGCACCCCCTATTCTAGGGAGAGTGTCTCCTTGATGCCAGCTGTGACATGCAGATGTGCAGTAAATGTCATGTTGTCGTGTCTTCCAACATGTTGGAACTTTTGCAAGACTAGACATCCTCTATCCTGAGTGTTGCCAAAGGCTTATATGTAAGTTGCTTGGTCAGTTTTTTGTTTTTGTTTTTGTTTTTGTTTTTTATAATCCATGTTGCTTTCTGTTCATCCACCTACCTCAATAGAAGTGGGTAAATCAACAGTGGGCTGCCACATCAACCCAAACCAAAACATAGAAAACACAGGCTTCCGTGGGTGAGTGGCTCTCAGGAAGACTTAGTGCCAATGCAAAGTAAGCCACTGAAGTCAAAAGGAATCTGTGTTGGGTCTTAAACTGTCTGCCTGTCTGAAGCCAAAGCAGATAGAATTGTTCATGTACCTAGGTATACTGTTTCTATTACCCCCTAAATCTACCTGTGTAGACCTGGCCAGGGTGCCTTGGAGCTGGTGTCCTGGTGTCCGTGCCACTGTCACTGTGCAGACTACTTCTGCCCCGTGAAACGTAAGCTCTTCCTGTCTAGGTTTTTGTATTTTTAGTGCCAGCCCGAACATTAATATTTTGCTCAACTGTGGAACCCTTGTTTCTGTATTTTTCCTGTAATTGTGTTCACCAATTTACGCTGTGTTTTATGTGTTTTTGTCCCGTAGCTAAGTGAGCTCATTGTTGGCACTGCTTTCAGATTCTGCAGCTTCCGACTCTTCGTGCTTTGTCTTCCAGCTCATTGGCTTTCCAAATGTGTTCAAAAGGCCCCTTTCTGTCTTTCTGTTTTCCTCTTCCTTTTCCGATCACCTCTGTTCTCTGCTCCATACCCCTCTCTTCCCTACATCACCTTCCTTTGACAAAACCCTTGCTACTTTTTAATTCCCACTCGTCCTCTTTCAGATTAAAATGGAACTTATCTCTCATGTCAAATGTTTTATCACATTATATCAAGTGGCATGAATTAGAATCAAATAATCTTCCTGTGTACATCTTCTAGCATGACCCACATCCACCGAGAATGCCTCATACATGCATAAAGCTCACCAGTGGGGCCTTCCCATCTCTGCATGCGTGCCTCTATGAAAGTCCTGAGCCCAGTTTGTCTGGGGCACTGTTGCCCATCCAATAGGCATTGAAAACAGACTGGCAGCACCCTCAGGTCTATGCTGAGGGGTATGGATTCTGCCTATCTCTACTGAATTCAGTTCCAAAAGACAAATTTTCAAGAAGCTTGTGGATTGCTCTTTTCAATGCCTAGGTTGCCTGGTTTTTTTTTTTTTTTTTTTTCCTTTGATCAGTATCTTTTGGTTTTTAGTTTTGTGGTGTGTGTGTGTGTGTGTGTGTGTGTGTGTGTGTGTGTGTGTGTGTGTGTTTTGTGTGTGTGTGTGTGTGTTGTGTCTGTGTGTATGCATGGGTATGTGTGTATACGTATGTGTTCCTGTATGAATGTGTGTGCTAATCATCTCTGAATCCTGAAACTTTAAAACATCTAGTACTGAATTTGATGCTTACTCTGTGATTTAGCCTGTCTCTTCATTGACAAATAATCCACCCTTCTGACTTCTTTTTTTAAATTACAAGTGCAAGGAGAAGATTTTGTTTGAAGGTATTCCTATTGGCGGCTGGGATGCAAATGGCCATTCGAGTGGCTCTTTGTAAGGGAATTGCAACCAAATCTTCATTTAGAAGTTAAAAGGGAGCCTTGTCTGGCACAGATGGGGGAAAATGGGCTTGTCTAACTAGAAGAACACAAGCACATTCCAGCCCTCTCGGCTTTAATGTGAATCAATAATTAAAAGAAATATTCCTAAGAATATACTTTGCAAAAGCAAGTACTGTTCACAAGTACACCCAGCCTCTTGTAGTCCACCGAGCCAGCATCGATGGCACAGTAAATCTCTAAGAATCTGCCCATACACTCACAGTTTAGTTTCGCATTGCCCCAATTTTCTTTCCCAGCACAGTCTTCTGAGTCTTTCCTCTTCTGAGCATATTATTTTACCCTTCAAACTGTGTTCACCATTCTATGCACTTCACCCCAAACTCTTAGAGACAAAAAACACCACTTTTTAGAAGCTTGCTTAGACACCGAGTTTCTTAACCATTTACTTTTTTATTCTCCAAATAACCTGGTCCCCTATTTTACGGAATCTATTGGTGCTAGGCAACTGATATGGTACAAAAATAAAGAAAGAAAGAAAGAAAATTTTAAAATTTATCAAATCTGTCATGGATTTAAAACATTTGTCATTTAAAAACCCAGAGCTTCTCAAAAGCTTCATTACCATGCAGCTCCAGTAATTTAATTCAGTACTTACTGTTTTTCTATAATCTATCGGCAAATCATCAGATTACCAACATGTTTGATTATTTTCAGCTTCTGTTTCCTCAAGCATGATGCTTATTCCGTTGCATTCATGCTCTGTAAAACTCTTGTGTCCAGTGAGCAAAACTGGGAATATTGAGGCAGAAGGGTCCCGTGAATGCTGCCATTCCCCGGTTCTTATTTTAGTGAACTTACTCTTTCGACCCCACTCTCTGATGATGGGGGGCCTGGGCCAGTTTCCTAAACAATTGGCAGAAATCTATGGAGAAATACTTGTTGATCTAAGTGATTTCTCTTCCAAATTGTTGCATTTTGATAAATGGCAGAAATGAATAATAGAAAATTAGCATTTTGAATGAAGAAAAAAAAACTATATATTTCTGAGATTGTTTGCTGTTTGGGGTTGTTGTTGGTTCCGACTGCCGTGTCAATCTCTGTTTTTCTGTCCCTGCTGGCATCTGTCATTTCAGAGGCATGGACTAAGAGTTCCTGTTGTTTTAACTATGTTTCAAGTCTTGGCTTTATTTACCTGATAAATCCCTTGGGTTCTTGCTGTTTTGTATTGTTTCTCTCCCGGCCCCCCTTGTTGTTGCTGTGTGTAATCTTGCAGGAAGGTTAGATGTCTTTTAATATATGCTTGTCTATAAGAATATTTGGGATCCTAGCTGGTCATTTATTGGCTTATTTTATGTTTTAACAAGGTTCCTATTTGGTGATTTCTGAACTGTTTTTTTCTCTGCCTCATCATTGTACTTTTGGCTGGAAGTGGGTGCTTGTGGGAGATTATCAGTATAACATTTGGGGCTCTGTATTTGATTCTCTGTGTCTGTTTTATTATGTAACTTAAAAACAGACATTCCAAATTCAGCTCCACTGTTTTTTTGTTTGTTTGTTTTTTGTTTTTTTTGGTTTTTTTGTTTTTGTTTTTTTAAATCAGGCATTCTGTGGGGTTTTTTGGAGAAATGCATTTAGGCATAATATTGCCTAACCAGAATTTCCTTTTTTTTTCAGTGAAATTTTCCCTGTTTATTAACATGGTTGGTTTCTATAGTCTTTCTATAAAATACTAACAGTGCTTGTTTAATAATATACTTTTGAAAGGGACTTCAGCAATCCAGTAATGTTCAGATGAGAAAGGCATTCCCAAGCCATCCCCCATGGTATTTTAAATGTACAAATGGATACTTTTATCTGCTTTCATGTTTTTCAGAGAAAAAAAAATGAGGCACAATTATGTTTTCACTGCCTGTAAATAGGATTTTAATATTTATAAACGAAATATCCAGACACTTAAACCAAGTGAATATCATAATAGGCATAACAGTGAATTTAAAGCATACCAATGGAGCTGAATTCTTAAAGAAAAACCACATCGCTCTAAGTTTTGAGTGGAGGCTTTGCCCCTCGTTGATTATCGATGCTTTATAAAAACATGGCTTGCAATAAGCTCCATGTTCTGAAAGTCTCAGCTAAGGAAGGGTGCTCCAAGAGGAGAGCACGTGCAGATGCTTTTCTTTTCCTCCTTCTCTGGTGATTAATTCAACATCTCTCTCAAAACAAAACAAAACCAAAAAAAGAAAGAAAGAAAAAAGAAAGATGCTTTCTGAAATTAGACATCAGATCACCAAGAGAAGCACCTAAGATTTCAAGGTCTAAATGAAAATTAATTTATTTTCTTTCCTCCTTGTACTTCTTGAAGACACAGACTGAGAAGAAAATCAGGATTAAAAGAGATGTGCTTAGGGTGAGTTCATCTGCTTAAACCTCACAGGCTCAGAGAGGAATGATTAAAAAGCCATCTCAAACTTGGACGGAGTCCACACTGGTGGTAATGCCGCATCCGCTCCGCTTTCTTCCGCAGGCCCCGAGTCACTGTGAACCCGGCCGGGGAACGTTTGACTAGAGATGATACATGGATTATCTAGGTCAATTATACACGTAATCTGCCTTCTGGGGGATTAAGCGTTTACAGAGAGACTCTGCATTTGGCTTCTCCCTGGCAGTTATCATCAGATCAGGCAAAGGCCCCTTACCACACAGCCTAGTGAGAGCTTAATCAGGCGGTGTGGACAGATTCGGAGGGATATGCCATGCGCCTGGCATTCTCTGCCTTGCACAGATTTCGATTTGCTGTTCCATTTTCATACCGAGTATTTGTTCACTTTATGTGGCAGCACAATAATTGGGTGCGAATATTTCCCTCTAAAGCGGTAATTTGAAACGTGAACCCTCTGCCTATTAAAATACGCTTACTGGATTTATATA